ACACACACACACACACACACACACACACACACACACAGACACACACACACACACACACATATATATATAGTATATATAATTATATATATATGTACACACACACGCACACACACACACACACACACACACACACACACCACACACACACACACACACACACACAACACACACACACACACACACACACACGTATATGTTATATATATTATATATATAATATATATATAATATATATATATATATGTATATACGTGTATGTGTGTGTGTGTGTGTATGTATACACATATATACGCATACATACATTAGCACACATATATGTGTGTGTGAGAGAGAGAGAGAGAGAGGGAGAGAGAGAGAGGGAGAGAGAGAGAGAGAGAGAGAGAGAGAGAGAGAGAGAGAGAGAGAGAGAGAGAGAGAAGAGAGAGAGAGAGAGAGAGAGAGAGAGAGAGAGAGAGAGAGAGAGAGAGAGAGAGAGAGAGAGAGACAGAGACAGAGAGAGAGAGACAGAGACCAGAAGAGAGAGAGAGAGAGAGAGAGAGAGAGAAGAGAGAGAGAGAGAGAGAGAGAGAGAGAGAGAGAGAGAGAGAGAGAGAGAGAGAGAGAGAGAGAGAGAGAGAGAGAGAGAGAGAGAGAGAGAGAGAGAGAGAGAGAGAGAGAGAGAGAGAGAGAGAGAGAGAGAGAGAGAGAGAGAGAGAGAGAGAGAGACGCAATGTGAATAATTATGATCTACAGAAAAAAGGTTGTCTGTCAAAACCAACAGCCAAGAAGTATATTTTAAGATTAAAACTAGAGATTTGAAGATCAAAATTCCTTTTCGGTATCACTCCCAAACCAGAGGAGCAATATTTATATGAAGGGAGAACCGGAACGCCAGAAAATAAAAATAAGAACAACAAAAATTCTGTACAGTTATCCTTCACTATTTAATATGATATGAAAACTGAACTTAAAACTACGTGACAGAATTGGAAATTAATACCGAATGAAACAGGAAACAGAAATTAAATGAAAAGGAGGAAATATGTATTGCTATCCCGTAAAAGGATCACAAACATTTTTCTGCTGATCCGCCGACTCCGATTCAATGTAAGATTGTGAATTCAATTATTTATAAACATTGTTTCTCGGTGATCATAAATAACTTCAGAAATGATTTATAGTACGAATTTTGACCAAAAGATCTGTTCGTTTTGTGTGATTATTTTACTGAAGTAATGACTACATGAAGCCATAGTTGAGCACGCTTATGTTAATTTGTTTAGTTTATTTTTCTCTTTTGCCTTTTCTTTCTAAAAAGAAAAAGACTTCAGAATAATTTATTCAGGTAAATATCATTAATTTTAAGAGATAATATTATGTTAAGCAGATTGATTAATTAATGTATATATATTTTTAGTTGATATGCTATAGATCAGAATTGAATTATGTTAAATATGGTATTCTTGTTTGATAACACTGAATGAGCTACAGAATCATATTCAGTATCATTATACAGTAGTAACTATCTTTTAAGGTAATAATAAGTAATAAGTTTTTTTTCTAATGGTTGGCTGCAGAGTGAGAGGAGGAAATGTGGATTGTAGCAATGCTATTTATCCTGCTTTAACTCCCCCACCAATCCTATACACGTCGTTATAGTGGGGGTGGGTGGCATAGGAGACAGGAACTGAAGCCCAAGGTTAGGGATGCATGGTCTTTTTGGTAATTTTTTCAACTTTGCAATCATACCTTCATTCAGTAATCCGCTGTAATATGTTCAATTTTTTTTATATTTTCCACTGCAGATGATATAATTACAAATATTAGTAACTGTATACAAAGTTACTTCACCCCTCTGTGAAGACCCTATTACTCCAGCCTCTCCTGGTGATCCATAAACATCTCCTTGTGAACCATAAATCTTCGTAACCGAGGGGCTTCACCCCCAGACCCCTATCCATTTGCCATA